CATTCAGTTTTGCAGTTCCTGAATAAATCAATAAAATAAATTCAGGCATTCATTAATTTTTTTTAAGACACCCCGTATAAGCATGTCTAAAAAATATGAATGGAATGATAAATCACAAGTATAGACTCAGTAATTTTCTTTGTTGTATAATTTAAATTGAACGTAAATTTTCATGCTTTGCAGTTTTAACCTCATGTAATATTTTTATTTGCACAAGTTTATTTCACACAGGATCATTTGTTTTCATAAATCTTTGCTAGTTTTTCTTTCATGTAAATATTTTGTTGATGAATGTTTCCATCATATAAATTAATCTGATGTCCAAGCTTAATCTCAAATAAGAATTAGAAAGAAAAAGAACATTTAAAATGGAATTGATGTTAATTAACCCAGAAACACGTGGTGGAAACGGAGAGCGCGGTTCCTAGTCGAGCTGACGGGAAATATCATGAGATTAATGTTTGCCACACTTTGTCAACGATTCAAACAAAGAATTTACATTACGTTAAAATAGGATCTTTGTTCTAAATTCTAAAATTGTTTTTTTTTTATAAGAACTTGAAAGACAGTTTAGAAGAAATATCTATCAAAAGCGATGTGTTGCGCTGGTTCGGTACAAGGATGGAAGTGATGAAGTGAAATAAATATATACAGATGAAATGCATATAACAAAGATGAAGATGTGGTGATCACACCAGGATAGCATTATACTACTGTCTTGACGTAGAAAACGACAACAGATAGTTTCATGTCTAGTCACAGCTTTCAGTCTGAGTATTGGTATCTTTTTATTATATGATCTAAGATTAGCATCCAGAAACTTATTCATAATTAGACAAACAAAATTAAACGAATCCTGACTAAGTGAATTTCAGGAAAATTCCTAGCAAATGTCTGTTACATTGTGTTAGCACCAGTTAATGATTAAAATCCTAACATGAACTGTGAATTTACAAACAATGAATTAAAATTTACATGGGTTTGCGTCGGTCGAAAAATCGCATTTCACCGATTAAAAAGCCGCAAGAATTCGATGCGAAAATTGTGGCGCCATCGTTACGATTAACTATCGTTAAACAAAGGCTTCCTCCCTTTTATTAACTACCAACCCAACTAATTTAACCTAGCTAACTTACAGCGTCTTTTCACCATGCTCACACACAAGAAACCAAAACCATAATGACGTTTTCACCATGCTCTAACTAAAAATCCCCCTAGCGAGCTACCAACTACCCCCAAGCGCTAACGTGCACGTGGTTGCCTATGTTTAACGAATGTGATTTCGCGTCGCTGTTAATTAATTTCAGCGCGAAAATTTGATTCAAATTCGGTCACCACAACATATGTATTTAGAAGTAATTTCCTTATATGTTGAAAACGGACAGAGATATTCGAATTTCGTAAGCACTACTGTTTTTATAACTGGAAGAGGAAAGCTTAATTTAGTACATTGGAAAAATGATATAGATGTAGTGTATTTAAAAAAAAATAGCAATGCATACATTCTTCAACTGATTTTAATAGATCATTAAATTACGATTGCAATGATACACTCGGAACACACTTCGATGTTGGTTTCTTTTTCAGTCGTTAAAAAAAATAAAATTTATGTTTTTATTTTACAAATAATCAGGAAGAAGTGTTTCATTCAAGCATATGTTCGAAATATTGCACTTCACACTGAACACAAAATTTATGTCAAATATTTTAGTATCATTACAAAAATAAATCAAAGGGCGTTAAGTCTGGGCTGAGAGCTGGTCGTCGATTAGAGTCTCCACTACCAACCTATTTTTCGAAATACATGTTTTTCAGAATTTAATTTTTTCGGCAGACACCAAAGAAATGTTGTAGTACTTATTCCAGGATTTCTGATGTTAACAAACATTTAACAGTAATACTGTAACAGTGCTTGCACACCTGTGTTCACAACAATGTATTTCAACTACATAATTATTTTGTAATATTTAGAGTTAAAACTAACACAACATTATGTAATTTTTTTATTATTATAATTGTAACTTTATAGACTATTAAAATCCCTTAAAGAGTATACATTTCAATAGCAAACGTTAAATTTGCTAAATTAAGATTCCACCTTCGAGCTAAAATCATTGGCTTTTACAGATTTTTAATTTTTTTATTCCTTCTCAAGATGTTTTATCTGGGACACCTGTAGGTACATACAGCTTGGCTTTGAAATGTATTTAGATATATTAATAACCTTACGTGTTATATTTATAACAGTCACCGTAGATATATAAATACTAATTTTTCCTCTAGGCCAAAGAAAAAATATTCCACGTAAAATGTAATGGCGTTAAAAATAATTAAACATGAGTATATAAAAAAATCAATCGAATTAATTCTATTGTTTTTCAATCGTTCAACAAACACAAACTTTTATTTGTTTTAAATTAAGAATTTTATCACTCGCTAAACAAAAATATCCGTTTTTAAATTTAATTTTACCGTCCACTCTCTCACACGGATATCGGCGATGGTAACAGGATAAATTTGATTGCTCTTTTTTGTTTTGTTTGTAACAGTTGCTTAATGTATGAAGCTACTTCGATGTTGCCCAAAGTCGTTCTGCACACACATTTCTTTTTTTAATGAAATTTCCCACTGTGTCCTCAAATCGATATCGTTTACGTTGTGGATATGCGGAAAGCGAGGATGAAATGTCACCATGATTATAAATAAGAAATGATTTCCTTGCTCAATTACACAGCTCTGCTCGCCTCTGCAACGTTTTAGTATTAAGTATTCAAACAATAAACTTATAGGTGTTTTTTAAAGTAATAACAGCTTTAATAACTTTAATTTTTGCATTATTACATATAAAATTTTACTAATACTCAAAACACGAGAGGGGTGCATTTGAAGCTAAATTGTTATTAAAACAGAGGTGATTTATATTATTATTATTTTATTGTTATTATTTTGTCATTGCAGATATTTTGAAGTTATTGTAAGCATGGTAAATGTTTAATTAAAATGTATCTGTCCTTCCCAAAAAATTGATGACGTCATCTCAAAATTTTGCCGAATAAATAGCATCTTAAATGTGCAAAATATGATGAGTTTATACTTGTGGTTTATCACTGCGTTAATATTTTTTAGATTTGCTCATACAGGGTGATTTAAAAAAATTAATGAATGAGTTAATTGATTTTATTGAATATGTTATCTGTTCATTAATTATTTAGATCAAAGAATGCTGTGCGATTTTGAACGTATGTCTTGTCGTTTTGGATACTTTTCAGATTATGCAATTAAACAAACACATGTGTAATGTTGGTTGCATGCTGACATAAAGCAATTTATAAACGACGGTTATCTAGTACTTGTTGAAAAGTAGAAAAACTCGTGAAAGAAAATAACTTCTGCAAGATTTGTGAATAAGTTTCGAAAACAAAGTTAAAGAAACTGTTGGAAATGGTATCCATTCTTCTGTATACATAAATTGATCCGTCTTTTCATGTTATCAGACACATTTTGTAGTGCATCAGGAGTAATGTGAAAAGTAAGTAAAATTCCTGTCCAACGAAATTTATACAAATTTGACAGAACTGGAAATGTGGAAACGAAATGAAATAACACATGATATTCGCTGATTTGGTGAATTAAGAACGAATAGTTCAGTTCAATAAAGTCTGTTGAAATGCACAAAGCTGCCGTTACCGGTTATCGCTGAATGCACAGTGAATTACATGAAATGATCTTTTGTACAATTTAACTAGGTGATGACACGTAGACTGAATTAATCGCGGGAATGAACAAGAATTCCCAACTCTGCCGATACACTACCCAAATGCATTACTGTGTAATTTTGAACGAATGTTTTGAAAGATTCTGTTCAGTGATGCAGAACGAAATTATAATTCATCTATGTAACACATAATTTTCATGTATAATATCTGCTCACATCGTATGCTATGCTGATTCTTTAACTGAAGCACTTACAACTTCTAATCGCTAGCTTAACACGATTGCGAGGTTTCCCTTTGTCACACTAATATCTGTAGTATTATTGTTATTAATATTAATGTAATTCAAATTATTCCGTAATCTTTCTATGAGTATAAACTGTGCGTAAAGCAAATGACTATTATACAGACCTGAATTTACATATAAATTTACATGTTTGTTCTAGTTAGAAGTTTTAAAATGGTAAATGTAGTCGTAAGATTTTGTCATTTACAGGTCCTGGAAATTAATAAATGGGATTTTCTCCCGCATTAATGTTTGTTTTTATTTGTACTGTTACGAAATAAACCCATACGCCGCCCCGGTACGACGCCTAGGGGTTTTCTAGTATGTGCGGCGATGATGGGTGACTCATCGTCGGTGGCGGCGACCGGACGGCGTTCGCTAAAGAAAAGCCTGGAAGCGAAAGTCGTGATTGGTGTTCCAGAATAAGCCTAGAAGAGGTGACGGCGACTATTCGAGAATATGACAATAAAACTTGAGTTAAATGTGAGTTTTTATAACGAGGGGATTATTATTTTTGTGCTACCAATTTAAAAGCAGATAATAATCAGAGAATTTGAAACTACGTAAATGGATAGTAATTTAAATGTGCATTCTATATTCATATCACCTATACTTTTCTCGTTAAGTTTCTTCTTTTGGATTTTGAAATTTTGGAAAGTACATTACTTATATTAGAAACTACAGAAATGATCGAAATTAGAAAAAACTGTTGAGATAATCAGATTTAACAAAAAAATTGCTTTGTTATGCATATATTTATTTTTGTCTGACAATTTTATTAATTGCATTTTAGATAAAACTAATATGTATATACATATACATTATGAAATTTGTAGGTACCACGGTAACTACTATCGCTAAACAATTAAAAAAAGATACAACCTGTCTAGACAAAATATGACACATTTTTAATAATAAAATCTTAGATTATACAAGAATTCCAGATTGGTCACTGCGCAGACAAATCAGCACCATCCCAGTGAAACATTTTTTTCTAAAATTATTAATTAAAACCGCTGTTAACAAAAATTACCTGTTCGTTTGCTCTAGACAAGATCAAATTCCATTTAACAAATGATAAGAAAAAATTAATGGAAACGTATCCTGTTGAAGGTCGCTTGTAACCTTTAGGGTCAACTGATACCTCGTTTGTTACTGATCAGTTCATAAACGATCATCTCTAGAGGAAGTTTGTTTTTGTGAGCTTGTGTGTTGTTACTTCGTGTGCAATGATTTTTTATAATGAGACAACTTGTTTGTTGCCTTTTGTGAATATTTTAATCGAAGATCAGTTGGTTGTTTGGAAAAGGTAAGTGGAACACAATTTGCATAGTAAACAACGCCTTTTATACCCTTGCTATTTTTGCTAAAATTGTTTACTTGTTTGTTTAATAAATTTTACATTTGGTGCCTGCTCAGTTCCTAGTTTTCCATGTATAAATGAGAGTAAAATATTAGTTTCCTAGATTAGTATTTACGAGTAGACCGTCTTCAGGCGGAAAACTTTGTAGTTGTAATTATTCTTTTATTCGCTATAGTTTTCAAACTGTCGGATACATTAAAAATGTTTTCTGCTTTGTCCTCCTAGTAGCAAATTTCACAGTAAATTAACCCCGACGTCTCGTACGTTTTGCTTTTTTAAGTTTCATAATATTTAAAATAGCTTTTTCCTCAGTCACAGGATTTTCAGTCCGTGCTGATTATTATTCCATTTGAAGCCACTCGGAATGTTTGTTTTAAAGTTGACCTAATTTGCAAAATAAAATTTCTTTGATGATAGACAAACAGTGGCGCAAGAATACCAACAAGGGTGGTTTATTAACTGTAAAGTAGTCCAAACACGTATGAAGGCAACTGACACCAGTATCACCCACGAATAAATTATCCACCTTTATCTAAAGAGATTCATTTTTAGTTCCCGTGCCTAACCTAAGGAAGTACATATTGTAATCGAGTCCATCGGGTGACTGGCTACTTGTATTTTTTCTCGACATGTCATGACCCCAAGATTATAAAAAAATGGGTCTCCCGTTGCTGTCTGTCTGTCCGTCTGCCGTCTGTCCGGATTTTTACTAGAAAGATAATCTTCCAAACTACTGTACCGATTGTTGCCAAATTTTACACGTACATTAGGAATATCATGTAGATGGTAAAACGCTAACCAAAATTTGGTTAATCATCCCTATTAACAATTTGATGAAGTCCGCTCATTTTATTGCATAGTTAACATTACCTGAATTTAATGAAATAATAATAAGTCCTTGATTTTTTTTCTTCAGAAGAAATTGACTTTGAAATTAAGCTGTACTATCTCTTTAACAAACTGAATGATTTTCATTCGAAAAACCTAGCCCGTTGTGTTTTCCTATATATCATATACAGAATGTTCATTTAACTGTTCACGCCTGACAATTTTTGCATAGGCAACATATTATACACCCCGAGACGACTTCGTCCAATTTATTTTTTTTTAATAAGCAATTATAGCAATGACACAAAAAATGACAAAGATGTCAATGCCAAATAATGACAAAATTGAAAAAATTAATACTCAATTTATGAAACTATCAGATTACAACGAAAACGAATTTATAATAAATGTTCAAAATGCCTGCCTCCACTATCATCACAACGTCCTATCCTACGTCAAAAATTTCTATGAACTCTATCTAACATGTGGGGAGTTCACGTAAAATAATTTGTCATAATTTTGGTTGTGATCATTGCTATCTATGCGTTCATTATTATTTAAAAATAAAAATTAATCAAAGCTGTTTCCAAAACGTAAAATGGGTTGCCTCTGCAGAAATATTCACGCGTGAACAGATAAAATAAACACTCTGTATATTTGATATCGGTTTATGTTTTATCGTTAATACTTAAGTAATGTCATTGTACTTATTCGTCTAATGTCCTTGCGGAATTTTTTATTGTTATAAACACTGTCAACTTTCTGACACAATTATTTCCATATAAAATTGTGTTTGTTTAACTCTTAGCCTTAATAACGGCTCAGCACTGCAAACAAAACACATTCACTATTCTTAGCTTTAAAGAAATTTGTGGTCTGCTCAGATAACAACAGACTAGAAAACAAGATGGATTTTGAGAAACTTCTGCAAGAAAAATATACTAATGTCTTTCGAAAAGGATATTCTACAGCTAAAGGTTTCACAGTTACTAAACGATATGATGAATTGAAAGAAGATTTAGATAATTTACAAGTCAGTGAAAACGATATATGGATATGTAGTTTTCCCAAATGTGGTAAGAATTTTTGATTATATTTTCTGAACAAAATACAAAGCAGAATAGGAACGACATGGACCCAAGAAATGGTATGGATGATCATTAATAACCTTGACTTTGAAAGAGCAAAACGGCCTTTAGATGAGCGCAGCCCTTTCGTTGAGTGAGTCCGATATTACAGAGCTTTAATATTTTTAATAACAATTTTTTTCATGGAAAGATTTTCCATGCTGTACGATGATAGAGAATTGTTTGATAAAAAGCCAGATTATAAACCTGCTCTGTACCTGCATGACTCAATAGGACACTACAAAAGTTTGAAGAGTCCGCTACTAGTTAAGTCACACTTACCTATAGATTTACTCCCAAAGCAACTGCGTGAAGGCTCAAAAAAACCTAAGGTATAAGTTTTGACTCAAACACAATCAGTTAATACGTTTGTCCTAGATCGTCTATGTGGCACGAGATCCTAGAGACGTTTGCATTTCTTATTATCACCATAGTAAATTGATAGAAGGATTTAAAGGCACCTGCGAAGAATTTTGCGAATTATTTTTAGCTGGAAAAGGTAATGCAGATCTTGATGGTAACATGAATTTTAATAACATTTTTAGTACCATATGCACCTTATTGGCAACATGTATTACCATTTTGGGAAAAAAGAAATAATCTAAATGTGCTTTATTTAAAATACGAGGACATGAAAAAAGATTTACCTAGTATTGTCCGTCAAGTTGCTGCTTTTGTAGGACGTTCTTTAACTAATGAACAGGTGCAAATTTTAGCCAATCATCTCAGTTTTGAATCTATGAGTAAAAATAAAGCTGTTAATAAGGAAGAACACATAGAAAATAAAAGAAGGAATAACTTGACGGATTATCAAGAAGGCAAATTTATGAGATCTGGTAAAGTGGGAGATTATAAGACTTCAATGACGCCAGAAATATGTGTAAAATTTGAGAACTGGATTAAAAACAATATCGAAAATACTGATTATGTTATCTAATATTTGAAATATCAACATATTTCTGTAATATGTTTTACCTTTAAATAACACATTAAATATTATTATTCCATTTTTGGACATTCTATTCCGGAAAAAACATACAGTTTTACCTTAAAATGATTTTCAAAACTGGTAAAACGCCTACCTGAGCGTAAGCTAAGGAAGTATAGTAACCGAGTCCATGACTTGTCATTTTCATGTTTTTGGACGTTTGATGATCCCTAGAGTACGAAAAAAGTGGTCCCCGTTTCCGTGTGTCTGTTTGTCTGTTCATCTGTCCTATTGGCAAAATTGACGTTGCAGTTATATTCTTTTTTGTAGTTAAATATTTCATTTATCTTTTTTTGTTGTCTTCTCAAGCTGTGTTTTCGTTAATTTATGCTATTTGGTATTAGGCATTTCATTATTTTAGAACTATTTTGTTGATTAACCGAAATACGTTGTATCTTTGAGACACCAAAAATTTTCTATAAAGCGTTGACTCATTTCAAAAGCTATATAATGTATTTGTGTTAATCAACAGAATAATGCTAAAATAATTAAAACCGTATTTAAAATAAAAAATAAGTTGAGTAATTTAAACTAAAGTAAGTAGGTTTTTTACTATGTCAATGAGAAAACCAATAATTCAGTGAATTTTGTTTATGCAATGTTCAGAGATACGAGTACTTGTATTGTCCTATTTTATATTACAATTCTACACAGGAACATCTTTCAAAGTAACTGCTTACATTTACTATAAGTATGTTAATTTGATAGTAAGATTTTCTACTAAAAGTCCCGGAGCACGTAAATTTTACCTGTTCGTGTTTATATGTAGAAGTTTACTTAAAGGAAACGATAAGATCTTGGTGCTTTCTAACTATTCGAGGAGAACTTACTTTAGTGAATGTAGATTTGTCAGTCGAAGTTTCAGTTTTTTCTAAGCTGGACGACAAGGTGGTTATTTTACTATTAATCTATTGGATATTACTCTGGTTTGTTAAGCTTTTGCCTGTGTTTTTTAACAGGATTGTTAAATATGTTGATGGTAAAATGAAAGCCTAGTTGAATAAATTAAGTAAATTTAAAATTAATGTAAATTTTCCAAAATCATTATAATTTTAATTTCCTTTAAACAACAGTGCATGAATGTAAAAATCGAAAGAAATATTAATGATGCGATTTTTGAGGGTGATTGGTTTTATAATTTGTATTACTATTATTGTTATTAATATAGAGTACCGTATGGATTACTAGTTTTATTTTTTTTTATAATCTTTTATTGTAAAAATTTCCGTATTCATTTAGAAAAGTTGCAGAAACTGTCATTTCCTCGTGTTAATTAAATTCCATTATTCAGTCTCTAAAAAGTTTTAATAACCTGTTTATTAACACTACATAAATTTTATTTGCGTAGTTTTATTCTCACATACTAACTACACTATTTAACGTCGCCAAAGGATGTTGTTACGTGTTTTTAGCCTTTTTTTCTTGAAGTTGTGTAATGAAGTTCTGCAAAACAAATCAACTTTCCAACAAATAAAAAGTGTTTTCACTTTTAGTAATTTCATTCAGTGCATGAAAGGTTTTCAGATGTAAATTTTTATCTGCGTACAGTTTCTAAATAAAGTCGTCAAGAAAAGTTTATAAAACAAAGTTCAGTTTTGCCTCTATTTTAATACTTTAGCAGTTTCAGGAAATAAAAACTACATAGATAGAATTATTTTTCTACTTTACTTACCGAGTTCTGAAATGTCATTAAATATTCCAGGGCAATATTTTGTTAGATGCATGTAGAAAATAGACGACGAATAGGTAGACACAGGTGGAAACTGGAGACCTACCTATTTATAATTTAGGAGCTTAGAAACGTCGAGAAAATATGAAATTAGCCATACGTCAAATAGACTTAATTGTAATATTTGTTTGGATCATATTGGGTATATAACCTAAGTAATAGAAACGATTTTCCAAGTAAGTAAGTAATCAGTAATGACTTTTTCTGTTAAGTAAGCATTTAAATCATTAAATTGGAGTTTTAAGAAGCGGCTAGGAGCTCAAAATTCCTATCTAGGGCGATGAGACATACATTTATCGAACAAACACTAAACACAAGTTTAATTTCAGTTCACAAGCATTATCTCTGTGTTCTGTGACAAAAACGACCAATTCGAAGCCCACGTAACACAAGTTCGGTAATGTGTTTCTAACACTGGATTTCATTCATTACCATTTGATTGCTGCATTTGCAGTAGGTGCTGACTTTGTACTGCAGAGTGCAGAGTGATATTTTATTCATTGCTTAGCACAAATCAACATGGAAAAAACGAGACTTGGCAACACAAGGACTTCAATCAAATTTTGGCTTTTTTAAAGTAATTCTTTCCCTTTTAAAAATATTTTCTTCATCCTGTTAAAATTCGCTGAAATGTAAAATGAATTTTCAATGTAAACAAGTACATTTACCGCGCTTCTTGGACTCATCACGGTCTAGCTGCATGGGTGTTTTTAACAAAGTCTCCAGTGCTGATGACATAACGATAATAATTTAATGTCGTTCACAGATTCTGCGTCTTATTAGTTCATTAAATTAATTTTGACTCAAATTAGAAAATGAACATGTGATCAGCGTGGGTGCTTTAGATAACTTGTTTATAATTTACTGGAGCTGATTAAGAAAATAAAGAATTTAATGACTAAAATTATTATTCAGTCATGTTTTTAAGTGTAACCTCGACTAGCAGATAAATCAAATTATTATTAATGTGTATGTTATCAGTATGCGCTTCAAGTAAAATTAATTTGAGCAAAATTAACTAGATCTGAATTTATCGAATTAGTGTTTAGTGCTTAAGGGGCTGATGTTGCGTGAAACCCAAGATTGTGGTAATGGTTTAATTATTCTCAAGATTTTGCAAGAGAATTGCATTAAGATTGATGAGTGTTCTCTTGTCATTTTAACTGGCGTAAAAGGGCAAAAGTATTTTTTTTACTTTAGATATTTTGGTCAAATTTAGTAGGAATCAGCACCACAAAAAAGGTATTGGCCTGGTATATAGCAGACATTTTTTCATCCAATCAAAAAATAATAATTAATGTATAAACAATACATGATTAGTGTAAAAACAATGGAAACAATTTAAAAAAAAATCGTCAGGTCATTTATGTCAAATAAACTATAACAGTTAAGATAACGCTTAAACTTCTTGTTAGTATTACAGATACATGAATCGTGATATTTGTTTACAACTCATGCCCCAAATATTTTTTGCTTGTGCATACTTTTACGAAGGAATATGACACTTTTTTAGAACTGCATGAGAAAATGCGGTCTCTCTAAACAAGCAAACAGAAAAATCAAAATTTGTTAGAATCATATTTCTTTCTCAGTTTGTTAAACTACTGCTAACAAAATAAATAAATAAGTAACTAAATAAATTAATTAATTAATCAAATGGAACAAAAAACCGTAATAATGAGTGGGTTACCTAGGACACGCTACAGATTATGTAGAAACAGGTTACCTATATTTCCGAAAATGCGGAATGTCTAGTAAACCTACGTATAAAATTATCAGCAAATGGTATGAAGCAAAGGAATTAAACTAAATACATTCAATTACCAAACAATTACTCATGATGATGGTGGATTTAGTGTGTAATATTATAGTTTATGAATCGCAGAACGAAATTTGAAGTTGCGTCAAGGCTAACCACTGAGTTGTGATTTCGTTTATGTTATATTATAATATATGCAACAATTTTTGCACATGGGAATCATCTTATCTGAACTTTTAAACTTGAGATAAATCAATGCAGATAAATAGCGTTTGTTTACAAATCATAGTAACACGTTTTTCTGAATAGTGGTGCTCACTTAATGCGAACGACTTTTACATCCGGATAATATCGGAATCTGATCCAGATTTACCCTATGTTGTGATAACCCAACCTTCCCGCCCTAAATTGACCTTGAAAAAAGTTTGAAAGGCCCGCGAAAAATTCAAAATTTGGCTGTGATCGTCTAACAAATAGAAACCTACGTTGTGTTTTTTTTTTTGAAAAATGGTGAGAAGACGTTGTTTCATACAAGTGAGCATACACTGCGTGCCAGTACAGAGAATTATTTGGGAGGGGTTAAAATAGCACCCCTCTTAGGAGGAAAGAAGCTGCGAGCGAAGGCGACACGGACTTGCCATCTCGCATTCACTCCTCCGCCCCAAAACCTCCTATCGTATATTCACAAACATATTACATTTCAAATGATACACCTTAAAAATTATGAAAGAAAAGACACTCGCGAATTGACAGACATACACATATGAAAAACGAACAAAAACATTTGTTTGGAATCAATGCAAATAGTTGGATATCACAAATTTAATAAAAACAACGCAAAATCTGAATTAAAGTAACTGGATGCAAATACACAAGTTATTACGGGCGTGTGGCGTCAAATTTTAAAGTTACGGCAGTTAACAGGGGCACAACAAAAATACCCGTGGGGCGTTTTAGCACAACCGGAGTTTGGGGCTACCGGTTGGGGCTGTTCTCCCCCCTCGACGGTGATTCTATCTATCGCAAATCCTACCCAAACAGCACATTACACGTCTCTAGGACAAACATGACGTCCGAAACTAGGCCGTTACGGTCGCCAGACCCGTAGTTGAATCTCGGCTAAGGACAGAAGCCGAGAACGTTACAACATCGGCGGCCGCCAAACGTGCGGATTTGTGCAGGTGACGCGATGAATCTCGCCAGCTCGACTAGGAACCGCACTTCGCTTCTACCACGTTTTTTGTGTTATTTAACCTCAATTCCATTTTAAATGTTCAATCTCTATGACTCTGATATTAACAACAACTGAACAAGTGTTAAAGTTTCAAAGAGCAATAAATAACATTTAAATTCGCCATACATCAAATAATTTATACGATGGAAACATACATCAACAAAATATTTACAAAACAAAACTAGCAAAGATTTATAAAAACAAAAGATCTGGATATGTGAGATTAAAACTGCAGAGCATGAAATTTATGTTCAATTAAAATTATACAACAAAGAAAATTACTAAAGTTAAAATTGTGA